AGTTTAGTGACTTCCCATCTGGTTTTAAAATAAACTCTGAACTCCTCCATGGAAAAGCATGCCAAAGACCTTCTGTGACCAGGTTCCCACTGTTCCCTCCAGACCCATAGCTTGACAATCTCTATTTCCACCTCCCACATCCCCGCCCATTCACCTCCACCCTCACTGCTCTGCCCCCCAGGGCCTGTGCCAGGCTTATTTTGTCCACTGCTGCACCCGCCCTGAGCAGGAAGCCTGGCACACAGAAGACCTCAAACATGTACTGATTGGAACATTAAAGAATGTAATTCTTAAATAAAGGAAGAAAAAAAAAAAAAAGAATCAGAGTCGGAGGCTCAAATGCAGGCAATACAAACAACCTGCAACACAATTTTCTATTTGAATGTTCCCATTTCACCTCAAATTCAAACATTATACCAAAACCAATACCAATGTCCCTCCCGCCCCCATAACAAACAAAAAAGGAAGAAAGAAAAGTCCTTCGTTACCAGAGGCCCCCAAACTCGTCACTGAACTCGAAGGCCTGGTCCTGCAGTCTACCAGCTGGCCGAGTGACCTTGGGCGGCCCGAGCTGGCCACAGGGATGCAGGCTGCGACCCCGAGCCTGGCTCCAGGGGCTGGATGGGCGCAGAGGCAGAACAAAGGTATGACAGGGAACGTCAGTGGACACGTTCAAGGATAGCACAAAACCCACCCCACCCGCCAAAACTGCCACCGCAGGCTCCAGCCGTTCCAGCCACAGAGCTCTCCCCTTCTCTCGACGGGTCGAAAGGGAAGGCGGCATTCCCCGCAGTTTCGGGTCTCAAGCTTCGGCGTTAAGACGCTGATTAACCTTCAGGAACCGGTCCACAGGCGCCCAGGGGGCGGGCCTGCGCCGCAGCAATCACGGATCGCCAACGACCGGAAGCTGGGGATTTACCAAACTCAGGCCCTAGCTGGGCGCCCCCAGTGCGGGCCCCCGCCCCCTGCAAGCCCACAGGAGGCGCGGGGGATCAGCCTGCGCACACAAAGGGGGCGGCGTCAGCAAGGAACAAAAACCTTGCTCAAGTCTCCCGCGAACGGCCCGATGCCCCTCTCTTTGGGCCGCCCCGCCCGACTCTCCGAGTGACCTTGTGGGCATCCCTTCCCCTCTCAGCCTCGGTTTCCCCACTCTAGCTACTGCCCGCAGCCGTCCGCTGCCCGCCCGCGCAGACGAGACGTACGGTGAGGCCGCCCCACTTTTGTTGCCCGCACCGAACGGGACTCGTACAGCCGCGCGGACAGCGGGCGGATTCGCCGGCTCCGCGGTCCCGGGGAAGGCCCGGCCTGGCGTCCTGACGCCCAAGCAGGGTCGGCCGCAGCACCCAGGCCTCTGCAGGCCGCGAACCCACCCAAACCCGGTATCTGCCGCCCTGGCCTGCTGCTCCCTTCCCGAGAAGCCTGGCTTTACCTGGAACTGGCTTGGTCTCGCAGGAGCCGCAGCAGACGCGTCTGAATCAGGAAGCAGCTTCGGAAGCTGCTGAGGAGAAGCACTCCAACCAGACGCCGCCGCCTCAACTGCAATCCACTTCCGCTCCGGAGGCCTCAGCTCCGCCTACCCGGCCTTTCTATTGGCTGCCTCCGCCTCTACTCCCGCGTTTTACAGAGTCAAGGGGGTATATGTTCAAGTCTATTGGATGAGACAACCGTCTATTACCACTTTGAAACGCGGCTTTTTCCGGCCTCACTTACTCTCGCGAGACTAAACTCTAATCTCATCGCGAGAAGTGCGTCCGGCGCCCCTCGCTCGCCCGCAAGGCCTCTCGGGAATTGTGGTCCCCAGAATAACAAGGCCGCCGGCCGTCCGGGAGCTGGATGTCAGCGTAGGCCAGCCCTTCCATGGCGCTGATTCCCGCCCGCCCGCCCGGTACCTCTCCCGGCCTCAGTTTCCTCGTTTATTAATGAGGCCTTTGTGAGCAATGTTCCCGGGGAAGCTGCGTCTGGGGAAGCCCGCGCCCCCAGACGTGCCGAGCCCTGGGCCAGCGCCTGTCCCCGGAATCCTAAAACAGCCTGTCCCAGGCTGGCAGTGGAGATAGGAGAGAAGCACAGACCGGCCCATCTGCGGGAACCCGGAGGAAGCGGCTTCGGAGCTGGGAACTGAAAGGACTCGAAGAGCGTTCCAGAAGAGGGAGCCTGGGTGGGGAGAGATGGGCTGGCAAGTCCGGGAAAGTGAAGGCCGCCCGGTGTGCCAGGAGCGCAGAGGTAGGGAGCCGTGGGGGCGGGGGAGGCGAGACTCAGACCTTGGAGGTCAGTAACCTGGCCCAGATGCCAGGTTGAGAGTCTGCATTACTCTCAGGGCCGTGGGTGTCAACGAAGGGAGGACTGAACGCGTGGGGGTGGGAGCGCTCTTGCCTGGGTCTCCAGGGGGTTTAGCGGAAGCCTGGAGCTCTAAGGGGTTCCTGGGGCCGCCAGTGGAACTCCAAGGGTCAGAAGCGCACAGGTCTTGGGTCCCTCCTTGCCGAGTTCAAATCCCAGCTCCATTGTTTAAGTGAATTTCACTGTTCTCTCACCTGTCCTGTGGGGATAATACAAGACCCACGGGCCGAGGAAGAAGGTGGAGAGCTGAAGGACTCCGTCCTGCACCTCACGGCCAGCTGCAGGCCAGCCTGTGGGTGGGGGCTGCCCATGAGCCCCTTCTGTTCTAAGAATACCTGGTTCTCAGGCCTTGGCCATCATCTCTGGACCCAGACACCTCCAAGCAGCGAGGAGGTCACTCCCCACAATGTGCCTTGGGATGGACAGTTCCCTCAGAGGGGGTTTTGAACCCAAAAGATTGGGTCTTGTTTGGACATGACTAAGCAGATCGAAACCAGAGCATTAATGTTTTGGTGTTGTTTACAAGCATTCTCTGGGTTTGATATTTTATGCAAGCAGGAGGGAATTTGGCATGGCAGAGTGTCAGAACAATCTGATTCCAGCATGAAGTGCATGGTTGTGTTCTTAATTTTGATAGTGATTTTAAGTTGGAAGGTATAAGATTTGCCACAGCTTGTAAGCATAATTGAAATAGTATTACAGAGAATTTACAGGTTTAAGAGGAATGCAGACATTTAATTCACCTACAGGAATTCTAAAATACTTGACAAGGCAGACAACTAAAATGATAAAAAAAAAAAAAAAACAAATCCAGATTCTACATGTGTGAATGCAGTTTCAATGGCTAGGGGGAGTTTACGGTTATAAATCACCACCCATGACCGATCAAAGTGATAGCTAAAAACACCCAGCTTTATAAACAGATTAGTAACTTGGATTTCACAGCCTAAGGAAAAGCTGCGGTTTTGTATTTGTAACTTCCGTACATTGAAGTGTGATGTTGAGCCCTGGCTGGTGTGGCTGGTGTGGCTGAGTGCCAGCCTGGGAGCCGAACAGTCGCCTGCTCGATTCCCAATTATGGCACATGCCTGGGTTGCGGGCCAGGTCCCGGGGTGGGGGGGCACGTGAGAGGTAACCACACATTGATGGGGTTTTTCCATCTTTCTCCCTCCCCTTCCCTTCTTTCTCAAAATAAATAAAATCTTTTTTCAAAAAAGGTGTGATGTTGAGAAACGGTCATGACAAACACCACTTTCATGCCCGAAAGCTGCCTCCCGGGCCTCTGCAAAGCTCGAGGGACATGAATTTGTCACGTAAGCATCCCTAGCTTCCTCACAAGTAGTACCTCTGATCCCCAAAATCCACAGCTTAGAGGCAAGATTGGTGCCCTTCACAGTGCCACACAGCTGAGTGCAGGTGCCCGGCCGCACACCAGAACCTGGGTCCCTGTGCACAAGACCTGAGAACCTGCTTTTTGATTATCTGCAGACAGAACCGCCACCAGAGTGAGTTGCAGATATTGTCAGCAAGGGTTTTCCAGAGGTACTCATGAGATAAATACACTTCAGCAGAATGGCGTCTTCCCCGGGTGGTCCCGAGAGGGTCCCCCTGGGCGCCAGCCACACCTTACTTCTCAGGCTCGAGGAGGGAGGGGAGGTGTGCACATTCGCCGCAGCTTCAGGATAAGCCTCCACAGGGCTCAGTGCTGCCAGCAACCGGGATTTCCTGTTACTTCGGAATGCAAGTTAGTTCTGGAGGCAGGTTTGGGTCCTGGCAGAGCTCACATGTTGGGGTCTGCTGGTTTGCGGGGGTGGGGGGGGTGGCGATGACCTAGGTTGGGACAACTGGCTCTGCTGCACATAGGGCTTCATCTGAGCAGGCCACCAGGAGGTGCTCACACTGGGGTGGGCAGGTTTCCAAGAGAGCAAGAGGGAGCTCCAGGGCTACTGGCGGCCCAGGCTCCAAGCAGGTACACAGCCACTTCTGCAGCATCCTGCTGGACAAAGCAAGTCGAGGGCTGGGGGAAGCAGGCTCTGCCTCTTGATGGGTGGTCACAAGGCAGGTAATGTGGATGCAGAGAGACATTTTGCATCTATCTACCATCCGCATCCTCGGGATGGCCAGAGACTTGCTCCCACCAAGGTGTGTATGGAGCAGAAGCCCTGGGAGCTCTCGTGGCATCTCTGGGCAGCGGGCCAGTTCAGGGGGGTGGGTAGGGGCTTGTGGGCTGCTAACCACCATCGTCAGCAGTACCCGAATTGGTGGGGCCACAGCCTCTCCCCTTTGCCACCTGTGCTTTGGTCACCCACGCCCACAGCAGGGACCGGCCTGGAGAGCATGTTCAATGCAGGTTAGACGCTGCAATCGATGTTCACCCAAGGCTACAAGGAGACAAGAGGCTTCCCTCCTAAAGCACCCAGAAGCGAAGGCCTGTCTCTGTGCACACAGAGTGAGGCTGGAGCTGCTATCAGTGTGGAGACAGAGTTCCTGGGTCAGGCAGCTCCTGAAGCCCACCCTACATTTGGAGCACCAGTTCTGGGAACTAATAATACCCCTTGTGAATCCCTTGGAGTTTCCAAGCGACCCTTGGACAGGTCTCAAGTATTCCCTTGATAGCAAATGAAATGGGTTTGAAACACAACATAGTGTATCAGAAATGTCACATTTATTTTTCTGAATGAAATTTAATCTGCTCCCAGCTCTGATTTGACAGGGGGTGGGAAATTCCTCTTTTTACCAGCCTGCATTGTAGGAAAATCCTGGGGTTCTAATGCTGTTCAGAATATCATGGGAGAACTCCGTTCTTTCTGTTCTTGTCACTTTGACATACCTACCTTCCTGACCAGAACGTGCCCTGGGGCCCAGCCTCCAAGATGCCATCTTCTTTGAGGACCCAGGCAGGATGGGGGAGGGGACCTTTCTCCTGGACATCTACCCAACCTGGCAGTTTCTAGCCCTGACAGTTTGCTTTACTGTCCCTTCTTCCTGGGAGTGGCAGTACAGCCAGCCTGTCCCCAAGGCCACACCCTCTGCAGCCTGGTGCTGCAAGACCCAAGACCCAAGACAGCAAACCCATCCCTGTCTGTCCCTGGGCAGGCTTGTGCCTAGTGGTCCAACCTTGTTCTCTTGGTGACACTAGAGGAGGCTGGGCAATGCTCTGAGGTTCCCAGGCTTGGCTTTAGGCTCTGGCTCTGGGGCCATGTCCCTTCACCTCTGACTACAGGCAGATGGGGGGGGGGGACAGCTCCTTTGCCGTCCTCACTGCCCTGCCCCCCGCCCCCATCACCGCTGCGAGGTTTCCGTGAGATGCCGCATGAGAAGGGCCAGTTTCTAGCGGCTCAAGAATCCTGGCCACTTCTCCGACCAAACACACACACACCCAGTCTTAGGGGCCCCCAGGTAAAACCACTGGACTCCAGGTGGAGAGTGGGGGTTCCAGGTTTCCACTCGCAGGAGGGGCTCTGGGACCTCAGAAGAGGGCCTGCTGGGCCTGGGGAAGGGCCAGTGGCCATCTTTAACACATAACATACAGGGGCCAGGTCGGCTGGAATTCCAAATAAAAAGCAGATACTCTCTCCACATCAGTTTGTCTCGATCTGGTGTCCCGCATTTTATCTGAATACGCTGCTCCAAGCAGGTGGGGACTGGGGCGCGGGCAGAGGGACAGAAGGGGGGTGGCCAAGGAAGTGCACAAGGCAGGCCGCTCACTTTACTCCGGGCGGGGTCTCGGGGTCCAGGGAAGTTCCCCCCCCAACTCAGGCGGCCTGCAGGGGGCGTGCGGGCCCACAGGCCGAGCCTCTCCCCGCCATCGCCCGCAGCCTGCGCTCACGGCTCTGCTCCAGCTCCAGCCAGTGCTGTGCCTTCAGCTGCGCCTGAGGCGGGTGGGTGGGGAGGGTTGGTGTGGGCAGGGGCGTCTATTCTGCTCCCCGCCCTGCCCTGCCCTGCCTGGTCTTGGCTCACCTGGGGCTTGGGGCGCGGGGCCCGCGTTGCCTGCACGCACAGCTCGGCCGCCTGCCTGCGCCGCTCAGCCGCCCTCTCCTCGATCCGGCGCTGCAGCTCCTGCACGCGCTCGTCCTGTGAGGGCGCCTCTGCGGCCGTGGCTTTTTTCTCCTCCCACCTGGGCGGGCAACAGGGTGGGCTCGGGAGGGGGTCCCAAGCGCAGGCGATGGGTGGCCTAGAGCGGGGGAGCCCCCCCCCCCCAGGACCTCTCCGGTGGGGTTCCCCGGCACCACTCCCTTTTCGTTCTTTGTACTTAACATTTTAAAAAAGCTTTCCATCTGCATTAACGACGTGCATTTGGGTAATGCGTGAAAGTCCCCTTCTACTTTGCACCCCCACCCCACCCCTGGCCTAGAAGTAACCTCTGTTGACACTGCTATCTTGACAAACCTCTCCCAAACTAAGCCGTTTTCCTTCCAAAATGAGGCCAGGATACTGGCTATTCCCAGCTGCCTTCTGCTCAAGTGTGCATCACAGCCCAGGGGACGGCAGGTGCGGTTCCCCGGCCACCAGCTGCCCGGCTGACTCCAGACCGAGCGCCCACCAAACCACCCCTCGAGCCTGAATGCCAAGGGCTCTAGCTCCTCGCAGGGGCTCCGGGGCATTGGTGGAGGGTCTGCAGCCTCGGAGGCTCCCAACACCAACCAGACTGCAGTTAGGGTCTGTCAGGCACCTGGGAAGTGGTGAGGTGTCCCAGGTGCATGCCACGGTGGGGACCCCAGAGCTGTCATGGGCTGCCTCTGAAGGATAACCAGAGCGGCAGACACTCAGGGCCAATGGTGTTGGGTTTTGTGACTGTCCCTACTCTGTCAACCCCACCTCTGTCCAGTTACACTCCGACACTTTCTCTGGAGCCCTGGGTGCTAGAACCCGAGCTGGGCCCCGCCTCCTTCGGGGCAGCCGCGCCTCCCTGCCTTCCCACCCCCCCCAGAAGGATCAGGCCTGGGGGCCCAAAAGCCCTCCCAGCCTTGGAGTTTGACGCCAGCCTCTGCCTGACCCAACTGCCACTTGAAGCTGGAAAAGTCGCCACTGTGTCCCCTAAACAAAGGAACTGCCTGTGAGGGGCATGGAGACGCCAGACCACACGACGCTGCGTGAGTCTCTACTAGTAGCTGGTTTCAAAAAAAAATGTTGCAGCAAACAGCCTTAGGAACCCCAGTGAAGTGTGGGAACAGGATGTTCGAGCTGTCGAGAATTTCTGCTAAACTTTCTTCTGCCCGTGTTGCGTGCCCTGATATGGGACAGTGTGTCTCCTCTCAGGAGATGCGCACCAAATGCTTAGAACAGAGTGTCAGACGCTGGAAACCACCTGCAGACGGCTCTGCACAGAGGGATGAACTGCTGGGGGGGGGGGGGAGCACGCAGCAAAGGCGCACTCGTGACCCAGATGCAAAATGACCGGATCTAGGTCATGGGCATCCAGCCATTACTGTGTGATTTTTCACCTTCTCCAAATGCCTGAGGACCACTGATAAAAATAGCAGGGGCGGGGGCCCTCCCTGGGCCCAGGGGCACGTGTTGTGAGGAGAACCCAAGGCTGCGAAGGGCACCGACCTCAAGGCCGCAGACCGCCCCATGGCGGTGCGGCACAGCGAGATCTGCTCCAGCACGTTCTGCAGCTCCTGACTCTTGGCACGCTTGCCCTGGATGATCTGGTCCCGCTTCTCCTCCTCTTCCCGCTGCTGGGCCTCCTTGAGCAGGGCCAGCCGTTCACGCAGCTCCACGATGGACATCTCTCCTTCCAGGCCATGCCCAGGGATCTAGAGGGAGTGGGGAGGCCCCAGGCCGGGAGCCCGAGCCTTGGCGAGGGTCCAGCCCAGCGGCCATCTCCTGGACCCTGGCTGGCCTGGGGTCCAGCACTGGTGCCCCTCCCACCTTCCATGGGCCTGGCCAGGCCCCCAGGACCCCACCTGCCCTCTGCCCGGTGGTGTCTCTGTGACATTCCTGCCATCTAGTTTCTCTGGCCCAAGCCCCCTGCAGCCCAAGACCCAAATGGAGCCAGGGCTGGGCCTGGGCAGAGTGCACTCAGGGTGCCTGCACCCCCAGGACCAGGCCTGACCCCACCTCACTGAGCCGGCCGGCCTGTCACGGCGCTTCCCACATGGGCTTCCAGGCTCGGATGCCCAGACTCAGCTCCTGCCCATCCAGCCACTGGCTGCCATGCACTGAGCTCTCCCTACACCACCCTTCCCACCTGGGTAGTTCTGGACCTCTCTGGACACACAGCAGTGCAAAGCCCACCCTGTCCAACCCTGGCTGGCATAGCTCGGTGGATTGAGCACAAGCCTGTGAACCAAAAGGCCGCTGGTTCGATTCCCAGTCTAGGGCACATGCCTGGGTTTCAGGCCAGGTCTCCAGTAGGAGGCATGTGAGAGGCAACCACACACTGATGTTTATCTTCCTCTCTTTCTCCCTCCCTTCCCCCATGTCTAAAAATAAATAAACTCTTTTTAAAAAAGCCCCCCTGCCCACCCTGTCCAGCCCCAGGAGCCTTGGCCCCTGCTGCCAGGGGTTACCAAGTTCTCCCCCACAGAACCGTGACCTCTTAGGCCAGCTCCAGCCCCCCAGCACAGCGGTGCAGGACCTACAGCTGGGCGTGAGTGGCCACGCAGAGTTGAGGTGGGCACCCTGGGTGTGCCCTCCTGTGGCAACACCAGGCACACCCAGTAAGACACCGGGACAGGGGGAGGGCTCCCTGGGGGCTGTGCACTCACCTGGGTCAGGTCCACGAGCTTGCCCTGGCGAGTGGGCTGTGACTCCAGGGCCCGGAGCTGAGAAATGAGCTCACGGCGCCGCCTCTGCTGCTCCTTTGCCTCTGCTGCGCTGCGCTGCAGCCGGGCTCGCCTCTCCTCTGCCACCTCCTGAACTTGGGGCCAAGAGGGCTGCTGAGGGCTCTGAAAGCGGGAGCCGGGGGAGCCTTGCCTCAGGGGCACCTGGCCCCTGCCATACCTGTCTGCTGCCGGCCCCTCAGGAGCTTCATCTGCGCCACCTTGACATTCTTCTGCCCCTCGGCCACCTGCTCCACCAGCTCCTTCAGGGACTTCTCCTCCTGGAGGCGCCTCTCAGCACGCTGCCGCATGAGCTCAGCCATCTGCTGGGACAGTGACCTGCCGCCATCAGGGGTGCCAGGAGGGGTCCCCTGAGCAGACCTGTGTCCCCTCCCCAACCCTGCCCTGCCCCACCCCAGCCCCTGAAGCAGCATGAGGTCTGGAGGGCAGATCCAGCCTCAGACCCCAAATCAGCCTGGAATCAGATGGAAACTCATGAGCCTCCGGAGGCCGGGCCTGCTGGGGACGCCCCCACTGTGCCCCTGGGGCACCAGCCCAGACCCTCACGGCCACCCGCCCAGACCTGGAGGTGAAGTCGAGGGCGCAGCCGAGAGAGTTCTGGGGAAACCACATCGAGCCACTGGGTTCGCCCCAAAGCCACCCACCCCTGGGCTCTGGCTCAGAGACAGGTCATTGCTGCATTTGAGCCACGGCAAGCTGGCTGTTCAGACACTGCCCAGGACCGAGTACAGGATGTGCCAGGCCCCCTGTCACTGGCCCTCGGGCACGTCCTGAAGGTCGCCCACACTCTTCTTTCTCGAGGTGCCTCGGAAGTGGACAGCACTGGACAAAGGTGCAGTGTCGCTGCTCTGACCACGCGTCACTGATGGCCTATGTGGCGGTCCTGTCCGCCTCTCCTGCTCAGAGCGAGGCGTTTCTCAGCTGCACCACCCTCTCTGCCGCCTGCAGTGCGGCTGGCTCCTTTCCGTGGCTGTGTGTGGGACACACCGGGGCTCTCGGTCCATTCCACTGCCCACGGCACGAGGCTGTCAGCCACCAAGAACGAGATTTCTGGTCAAGACCCTGCGACGGACGGGGCGGGATTTGCGCCCCGGTCACTGGCCCCCCCGCCTGCGGTGGCCCATCGGGCTCCCAGCCCCGGGGACTTTCTGCAGCTGGGAACCGGGCCGTGATTGCAGGTGAGCGGAGCAGCAGCCAGCAGGCAGCGGGGCACCAGGTCCAGAGCACAGAGTCAGGCTTTGTGGACGGTTTGCTGGCACATCAAAAACGGCTCTCAGCCACTTCCTTCAACGCTGTGCAGTTTCATTCCAGGTTCTGAGGAAAGGCAGCTGGGGCTCTGGGAAGTGGCATTTGGGGCGCAGCAGAGACACAAGGCTGACTCGTTTTACAGCGCCGTGAAGTGAGGAAGTGCTCAGAAAACACAGGCCGAGGGCACCTCAAAGGGACTCGGAGGGTGGACCTGAAAGGCGCCCCCCAGTGGCCAAAGCTGGCACCATATCAACGATGGCGAATTGGATCACGGCCCAAGTGTAATGCCAAGTGCAGGCAGCCCACGCTGACGCAGCAAGTGACGGAACACACTAGCTCGCGGCGAAGACTCAGCCCACCACCCTGGGTTTGGGCTCTGCCTGGTGACCCCTCCGAAGGGCACAACATGTAAAAGGGAGGTGATTACAGTGGACAAACCCAGCAACCGCAACCCCAGCCAGATGATCAAGGTCAACAACAGTGATGAGTTTGAGTTTGTTGCTGGCAGCCTTCCCAGATAGGGAGGGGCAGCGAGGACGCCGTGGGGGTGAGTGCGAAACGTGTCCCTGGCCCCGGGCCCTTGGTGGTGCGTGTCTAAGGGCAGGCAGAGCCACAGACGGGCCGTGCGGGGCACACGGGCACGGAGGCCGTGTGTCCTGGGAGGGGCCAGGACTGACACGTCTGGACTTCTACAGTGGAAGGCGACGTCCACAGACCCTCCCGTGGGAGAGGACACGCACACACGTCAGCCTTCTCGAAGTTTCTGCCACAACCTCAGGTCTTCCTGCGTGTGCGGGTGGGTGGACCAGCTGGCCCTGCTGGTGGGGCGGGGCAGCGGGGACCTCAGGCCGGCTGAGCCCCAACGCCCCCAGAGTCCCCGAAGCTGCAGAGGTGGGACAGAGACCACAGCCGCCCTGTGGGTCTCAGGGAGAAACGGCCCAGGGCCAGCTGCAAGCCCAGGACCGCGAAGTGACCAGGCGCGAAGTGACCAGGCCCACTGCCCCCAGAGCCCCAAGGCCCTGAGGCTCAGACAGGTTCCCAGCTCCCTCCGGACCGGTCACCTCCTCTTTCTTCTGGGTGGCCCTGTCTCGGTTCTCCCGCAGGAGCTGCTGCCGGGCCAGCGCGGCCTCCTCATGGCTGAGCTTCCCCCGCAGCCTCCGGCACACGTCCGCAGCCCGCTGCTCCTCCCGGTCCTTTGCCTGCATCTTCTTCTGCCACTCGAGGAACTCTGAGAAGTCCCCAGCCCCATCCACAAGCTTGTCCACTCTGGAAAAAAGGAGAGAGGTGGCTGAAGTTCCTCCTGGGATGGGGCCTGTGCTGGCCCCCAGGAGGCCTCGGGGTCCCCTGTGGACACTGAACTCACAGGTGTGGGCCTCCCTGTACCCAGAGCAGCCGCGTCTCCCACCCACCTGGTGCCGTATCCTCCCTTCATCCGCGGCTTCCCACCCTCCCTCATTCCACTTGTCTACACACCCGCTTGTCCATCGCCATCCCCTGCCCACCCATTTGTCCATGCTCCACCCCCCGTCCATCTGTCTGTCTCTCATCCATCTGGTTAGCCGCCCCAGCTCCCACCCAGCACCCAGCTCAGGGGGAGAGCATGGGGCAGGTCAAGGTGGACCCAGGATGTGGCCTGCGGAGGCGCTGGCCCCCGAGGGAGATGTGGGGTGGGCCAGCGACTGCTGAGCCTGCTCCTGCCCAGTCTGACTCCTTCTCGGAGCCAAGGTGGTCTTTCAAGGGTGCAGCTGTGACCCCAACACCGGCTGGCTGGAGGCCCCACAGCCTGCAGGACCACAGCCACCAGGCCCGCCCCATGCCCTGCCGGCCAGGCCCCGGCCCGTTCCCCCAACCTCTGCAGCTCCTTCTCCACCTGCCGCTGGTATAAGGCCCCTTCCCGCAGGATGGTGGCCGTGTTCAGCTTGACGGGGACCTTGTTAGGCTGCGGAGAAGGAGGAGAGGCTGGCTGTGGCAGGGGTGGGGGGCGCCCCGGCACAGGGACGACCCTGCCCTCGGCCCCTCCACATCCACGCCTGCCCAGGTACTTCCCTCTTCGGTAAGGGTGGCGCTCTGGCCACCCAGCCCCTAGGGGCAGAACGGGCTGGGAAGTGGGTGCCCCGGGACACCCTGCGCCCACCTGGACCACTTAGCAGCACCCCTCACCCTGTAGAAGGTCAGTTTCGGAGTCTTATGAATCCGGGGCAAGAACCGGAGCTGCAGCTTCCTGGAGCCCTGCAGGAGTCAGGGCCTGGCACCGAGCCCGCCAGGTGCCCGGAATGCCCCCCGGGGGGCCCACCCTGCACACAGACTCCCCCAGGGCAGCGCCTCTGTGCTGCGGTGCACCGCAAACCTCGGGGGGCACGGGGCTGCGCCGGGAGGGCCAGGGAGAGTGCAGGGCCTACCAGGCTGGGAAGAGCGGGTCCTGGTCAGGAGGGCTCAGCCTCTGGCTCAGAGTCCTGCTACCCGGCTGTCCCCAGGGCTGACCCTGTGACCTGTGGCGGGCTGCTCCCTGAATCTGTCTGCTCCCCCGGGTGGGCACCACAAGCCCCAGTGTGGAGAGCCACTGGTAGAGGTGCCCTCCATGGGAACTCAGCCATCAGCGGCCAGGGCATGCAGCTAGGCTGGGTGGCTGTGCCCCACTGGCCCCAACTGCAGGGGCCCCGGAGGGAGGCAGGCAGGGGCTGGGCTGGCACCCACGAGGCACCCAGGGCAACTGGCCTTCCTCATCCTGCGCCATCACCTCTCCAAACACACCTTGGGCTTTTTTCTTACAGACGCCATCAATGCTGAGCGTGGAGATCTGGACACCCCCAGAGAGGCTGGCCAGAGGCTTCCCAAGATGTTTCTGGGGCTGCGTCTGCACAGCCCCCAGTGGGGCTGCCCTCGGCCTGGCCCCAGCCCTGGGGGCCTGGCCTCCCGGCTCCAGACGGGCCACCCAGGGGCTCGTGTGTTGCCACTCCCCCAGGCCCAAGCAGATGCCCCATGAGGACCTGCCGGTGCAGAGGGCAGGCTGTCACCTGCTTGGGGGCCTCCCCTCGGGCCCTGGGCACTGCACACCGCATCTCCTCCAGGTTCGCCCGCAGCAGCAGCTCCTGCAAGGCAACAAGAGGCTCAGCCTCCCAGGCTCTGCCCTGTCCTCTGTCCTGGAGTTGGGGGGCAGAGGCGCACACTGGCTCCCTCCTCCTCCTCTCCTTTCCCACCTTCCCTAGGGGGCCAGGTGCTGTATGTTGCTCACCTCCGCCCTCCGGCGGTTGTATCTCTTGGTCATCTCCAGCACCTTCGGCTCCATGGGTGGCTGGTAGGTGCTCTGGGGGGCCTGTGGGTGGTGGAAGGAAGAGCCACATCACCAGTGGCCTAGGGGTGAGGGGCAGCCACAGCCCCCAAGCCAGCAGAGGCTGGAAGAGAAGCCTTAGCTACGGCCGGGCCTTGTGGGGTATTGGCCATCACCCGGGGAAGGGAGGGACATCAGGCCAGCAGCAGGAAGCAGGGTGGCCGAGCCCAAGCCACCGGCCACTGGAGGGACAGGCAGAGGACTACTGCCTGACTGGGCGGGGGGGGCATGGAGCGGCTGGAGCAGCAGCTGAGGCCGTCCATTCATCCACCCATCCGCCCCACAGGTATTTGATGAGGGCCTGCCCGGGGCCAAGGCTAAGCTAGGCATCGGGACAGGTTAGATGGACAATGTCTGCTAACAGACCCACAAGCTACCAAACAGCCACAAAACCTGAGCAGTGCCCGGAAGAGACGGAGCTGGGGGTCACGAGGAGGACGTGGAGCGAGGGTCCTGTCCAGGGGAGGGCCTTGCGGAATGTCTCTCTAGTGAGGCTGCACTGAGTCCCAGGGGGGGCCAGGGTAGGCGGGGCCCGGGGACCACCAGCACCACCCACGACCCTCCCGACAGCCCTTAGTTCTGCTGGGGAGCAAGGCTGGTTCTGGGAAGCTGAGTTCGCCCTCAGTGCCCAGCACAGAGTCCGTGTTGGGTCAGAGCACCGCACCCTCGGTGTGGCAGGCAGCTCACCGAGGGGAGACACGCGACTGAAGCTGGTCTAATCGTGCTTTCACAGAACTCTGGGCCTTAGATGTCCTCTGGTGCCTGGACACTGTGCAATGTGGTTATGAGGCCTGGGCGTTTTGCTACACTGGGAGAGGTTAGCCCAAAGAAAAAGTAGACCCACAGAGGGGACCAGGGCAGAGATGGTCAAGAGATGTGGAGCTGGAACCCTGATCAAACTATGCCTGAAACCTATCCTACTGCAGCCACAAATATCTGAGCAAGACTGAGAAGCTTTTTTTTGTTACTTGCAACACAAAGCATCTTGAATGACAGGAGCCAGCAAGGCAGGGGGAAGGGGGAGGGGACGGGAGGGGGAGGTTCTGGGCAGAAGCTGTACAGTGGGGACAGGCCATGTGACTGGGGTCACACAGATAGACATTGCCACCTGCCTGTGGTAGGACCCCCAGCCCCACCAAACTGACAACGTCCACTAAAGGGCCAGGAACACTTTCCTGACCCCTGTGGGCGCTCAGCCTGGGCCATGGGAGGCGGTGGCCCACAGCGGCAGGGCTCAGAGTGGGCTCCAAGCACGGAGTCCAGCAGCCTCACCCCACGCCTCCTGACCGGAGGGCGTGTGGCGTGTGTGGAGTGTGGCGACCCACGGCGCAGGCTCCAGGCTAACTGAGCTCCCCTCTCTGCGGGGCGGGGTTGGCGAATGCTCCCGCCCTGGTTTGGGCCGCCCACCACTGGCCCACAGGGCCCACTCTCCTGGCCTGGACGGCCTGTGCCACTGCAGAGGCCGGCACTTACTGGTGTTGCCTTGGCCATGACAGGGACAGGCTCGGGCACTGGAATGGCACGGGGTCTAGGGACAGTGAGGTTGAAGCTCTTGGGTTCTGTGACCTTGGCCTTTGAAGGACGGGGCTGACTGGCCGACTGGCCCTCCAGCTGGCTGAGCAGCTCCTGGACCTCCGGCCGCCATCTGGAAGGCAAAGGTGGGAGCGACCGCTGAGGGCTTCCCGCACCGGCCTCACCCCAGCGCCTCACAGCCCCGCGCTTCCCGGTGTAAGACGACGCGGAGGCCCGGTGGCTTCCCTGTCCTAGGTGAGTGGGGAGCGGGGGGCACAGGGACAGGGCAGACCCCCTCTGGCAGAATCCAAGGGCTCTGCAGACCAGCTGCGGCTGGGACGTGGAACTAACCTGGGCCCAGGCAGACGGCCCAGGGGAAGGAGGCAGGTGGAGAGGAAGGGAGACCCCAAAGGGCTGGCGGCGGGCGGGTGTGGGGCAGGGGAGGGAACCCTGGAGCAGGGGCTGGGGAAGGGCCCAGCCGGCTCCAGGACCGGGGCCCCTTCGTGCCTCCACACCCTCCATGTCCCCTCCTGTGGGGCTCCCCTGGGGGGCGACCACAAACACCGAAATAGCTCCTGCCCTCGAGTGGGAACCAGGGCCGCCAGAGGGGGGAAGGGCATACGTGAGGGCCAGCAGGAAGTGAGGGGGGACAAGTCTGTGGTGGCACCGGTCCCAGGGCAAGCAAGGGCGGGCTGCACATGGCTGTGGTGGGGCGGGAGGGGCATCCAGGGCCCGCTGAGCAGCTGCCCAGCGGCCGGCAGGTCCAGGCCGTGGGTGAGCACCCCAAGGGGAGGCGGCGAGTCCCGCCTGGCTGGGCTTCTCATTCCACAGGACGCGGGCAAAGGCGCAGCGCCGGCCTGGGCCAGGCCGCCTCTCCCTCAGGGTGGCCACCTTCCCTGAGCCTCCCACTCTCTTGCTCACGCCAGAACAGTCCGTGTGTCCCCAGAAAGACAGGGGTCCCCCAGTCCTATCAGAGGCAAGCAGCTGGGGCAGCCGCCCTCGGCTCCAGCTGCCTCTCCGGGGAGGCCAGGCCACAGCACTGGTCCTGCTGCGGCACCGGCGATGGCAGGGCTTGCCCGCACCTGTCAGGAGAGGCCGAGAGGCCACTTTGGGATGACAGACCCAGGAGCGGTGCCCTGGGGGACTCAAGACAGGGACGCAGGCCAGGATCCACCAGGGGCTCCCTGCCCCCGGGTTTACAGGAAGAGGCTGGGCAGGGCCGAGCCCCACAGGGTCCCTGAGGGCCCGCAGGGCAGGGGCCACAGTCACAGTCCCGCTCCAGTGGTCAGCTCTGGGGCTGAGGGGCCACTCTCACCCCACAGACTCAGATGGCCCTGGAACCACCCTGGCCATCAGGCCTGTGGGCCACCAGCCGGCCGCCTGCGGTGGGGGTCAGCCTGGGCCCCTGGGCTGCATGCTCTCACACATGGGCCATGGCTCTCCAGACACCCTCACCCCCCGTGGGGCCCTGTGAAGCAGGGAGGGGACCCGAAGAGGCCTCAGGAAGGGGCACAGCGCCCAGCCCACCTCAGCAGGGGATCCGTCCAGTCCTTCACGTGGGCTGTCTCATAGATGAGGCTCCACTCGTCCTTGATCCACGAGCACAGGTTTAAGGGGTTGAAGAAGAACCCAAGGAACTGAGGGAGGGATGGAGGTGGGGGGCTCAGCCGAGACCCCTGTGCCTGGTGAGCCCTCAGTGCCTCTTACAGGGAGTCGGTGCCCTGGGGCAGGTGTGGCTGATGTGCCAGAAGCCGGGGCCAGTGCCCACACCAGGCAGGAGACCCCTCAGGACAGACCCCCCCTCCCCAGGGACAGGAAAGGGGCCTGGCCCCTGTTCACTGCCCCTCGTGCTGGGCTGGGGTGCCCATTCTGGGGGTGCTGCCCCTCACCAGAAAGGCTTCTGCTCATGGTATCTGGGCACTCGGGGCAGCCAAGTGGGCTTGTCCTCACGGCGGGGACCCCCGATCTAGCCAGTCCCTGGAACCTGGAGGCCTCCACCTCCCTTCCAGAGAGTCCATGGTGGGAACAGGCAGATAGCTGCCCTATCCCACCCCATGGGCTCGGGAATTCCCAGAATGGACCGGCTCCCTTTTCTGCAGCCTGGCCTCCACCAGCCCAGGGCAGTGCGGGGCAGGGGGGTCCAGGGGAAGTGGGCTGCCCACTGCCCCTCCCCTGGGTGGCAGGTCCCCGTGCTGGGACTGAGGCTGTTTCCCCTGGGCAGACCTCGGGGCCTGGGGATGGTGCTGGGCAGCCGGGGCTTCTAAAGAGATTTTCCCAGCGCCTGGCCCTCAGGAGACCTGGGGTCCCTTTTGGTTGCCAGGGGAGCCCCGCCATCCCCGGGGGCTAGAGGCACACACCCACACAGAGGCCTCTGTGGCCCCTTGAGGGGGCTCTCTCGCAGCTGAGACGGGCACAGGCGCCAGCCCTTGTCCCAACACAGAACAAGACCAGCAGGGTCTCCCTCTCTCGTGAGGTCAGCGCCTGGTGGGACAGACCTTTACCCTCAGGTCCAGGGAGAACCGGCGCTGGCTCACCTTGCGCATCTTGTCCGCAGGCTGGGACCTGACGATGTTGCAGAAGAGCTGGAAGCCGAGCTCCTCCAGCTGGAACGTGGCCAGGTAGCAGATCACTGAGGAGACAGACGGGCACGGTGCGGAGGGCACACCCTCGGACAAGATGCGGGGACCCGGCCTCAGGGAGTCAGCCGCAGGCACCCACAGGCCATGACGGCAACATGGCAGGACTGATGACCTGTCCAAGCCAGTGGGACACCCTGTGCTTCGGAGCAGTTCTCGGCTGTTATCTCACTGAGAAAGCTCTCAGAAGTTCCAAAGGCTCCCGGTAGAAGTGAGATCACTTTGGGCTTTATTCGCTCGTTCTGAGAGACTGCACTGTCTGCTTCAAGCCAGTGGGGACTCCGACTTGCTGAGTGAGGCAGGGGGTCTGGGAGGTGAACGCCTGTCCACTGTCCATCAGGCCTACGGCCCACCGGGCACTGCTGGCCCAGGGACCCATGCTGAGTGGCGAGGGGGCACTGGGGCCAGGACCCCAGCACTGGACCAGGCAGCAGGCCACCCAGCTCAGTCTCCGAGCACCTGCTGTCCCCAGCCCCCCCCCGGACAGTGGCACCCAGACACAGTGGTCCCCACACCCCATGAAAGCAGGCCACCTACAGGAAGGCCTGGGCCCAGAGCTCCTGTCTCACCCCTCAGGTCTGGGCCCTGGAGCCTGGCCTGCAGTGTGCCCAGCTGGAGCCCGTGTCCAGGTCCCTGAGGTGGACCCCGTCCACAGTCCACACAAGGCAGGCAGCCAGGGTGGCAGCAGGACCGAGACGGGGAGGCTGCGTGACAGCCGCTGGGGGGAGGGGTGTGAGCAGCCAGGAGCAGGCAGCAGGCAGGGTCCCAGTGGCAGGCGGCATGTACCCTGGAAGAGGTTGTAGTCAGCCCGCAGGCACAGCCGGCCGTCCCGCACGTAGAAGGCATCCACCACGACGGTCAGCAGCTTCCGGTACTCGATGCAGCCGGAGAGCACCTCCAAAATGAACGCCTGCTTCTGGGGGCTCAGAGCCTGGAAAAGAGACAGGCTGGGTGGGGGCTGCAGCCTCTGCATGTGGAACACAGGCCGGTGGGCACAGCCCAGGGCCCGGCCCCGCAGGCTCTCCTGAGTGACGCAAGGTGGGGGCGAGGACAGAAACACACAGAAAACGACCAGGCAGGAACAAGAACGGCGCAGCAGGGCCGGCACTGTGTGACTCCACTCACGTGCAGTCCTTGTCTCCCAGGACAGAAAAGCAGACAGACCCCTGGCTGGTGTGGCTCAGTGGACTGACTGAGGGCCTGCGAAGCAGAAGTCTGCCGGTTCAATTCCCAGTCAGGGCACATGCCTGGGTTACCAGCCAGGTCCCCAGCAGGGGGTGTGTGAGAGGCAACCACACATGGATGTTTCTCTCCCTTTCTTTCTCCTTCCTTCCCCTCTCTAAAAATAAATTTTTTAAAATATTTTATTTATTTATTTTTAGAGAGAGGGGAAGGGAAGGAGAAAGAGTGGAAGAGAAACATCAGTGTGTGGTTGCCTCTCATGTGTCCCCCACTGGGGACCTGGCCTGCAGCCCAGGCATGTGCCCTGACCGGGAATCGAACCGGTGACCCTTTGCTTCACAGGCCCATGCTCAACCCACTGAGCTACACCAGCCAGGGCCCCCTCTCTAAAAATAAATTTTAAAAATCTTTAAAAGAAACAAAGATGGACATTGCCAGGGGCGGGGCGGAGGATGGAGAGTCACTGTTTGATGGGGACCGAGAGTCATTGTGGGGAGGTAGAGCCCCGGAGGCGACGGATGAATGTGCCTGATGCCACTGAGCTGGACACAGTGGTTAAAAGGGTAAATTTTATGTGTGTATTTTACCACAATAAAAAAAGAGCGAGCTACTACAAAAGTTGTCAGATGAGTGATTTAAAAAATACTACCCCCCCAAAAAAAACCCCAGAATGACAAGGAATGTGGCTGTGAAGGCTGGTCAGTTACACAAGCCAGAAGGAGGCGGCCGGTCACAGGGGGAGGCCGGGTCTCCGGGGGAACTGGAGTTGGGGCGACCGGCTCTTCCCTGCTCACGGTGGACCCATGTGGGGTTTGTCACTGTGGGCCACGCGTCACCCGCTCACACAGATGACCGCATTTTGGAGATGAGGAGATAGGACACCCGCTGCCTGCTCAACGGCGGGAACAGCTGGTGGGTGGGTGCTGGCAGCACTTCCCTGAAAACAATGTAAAAACATGCTTCCAGAACTTTCTATTTCCACGTCCTTCATCCCAGTCGTCATACTTCCAAGAGACCAAGCAAACAGTCCAAAATTCAGGAAACACTGGGGGGTGGGGGGGGAGGACAGCTCCGGCAGCGGCGCGAGCAGGGGTGGGACGGCGGCCACATCCACAGGCCGGCGGGGCCTCTGTCTGCAGGTCCCGTCACTGTCACCGGGGCAGGACGCAGCTGTCCGTGCCGACCCCGGGGCGTCCAGTGAACTCACCAGCAGGGACGTTAAAAACCTTTATTTTTAGCCCTGGCTGGTGTAGCTCCGTGGATTGAGTGCAGGCCTGGGAACTAAAGGATTCTGGTTCGATTCCCAGTCAGGGCACGTGCCTGGGTTGCAGGCCAGTTCCCAGCAAGGGATGGACGAGAGGCAACCACACACTGATATTTCTCTCCCTCTCTCCTTCCCTTCCCCTCTAAATATAAATATAAAATAAAATAAAATAAAAACCCTTTACTTTTGCCAATCGATTAGATAAATTTTGGTATCCCATTGTTTTACTTTGATTTTTTATTGTCAGTGAAATTTTTATGTTTACTGGACACTTATTTGTCCTTCTGTGTGTCCCCAACTTGTATTCTTGGCTAACCTTTTTAATTGAGACGGCCTTTTTCTTAATAGGTTTTTACGAGTTTTTGCTGACAGAGGTGACTGACGGGGCCCCTTGGTCAAGCCCTGTGGCCACCACCCACCGTGAGGTCTCTCGCAGCGCGCGGTGCGCCCTTCGCTCTGGGGGCGTCGGACCGGTTTTCCCTCCTGTGGTTTCTCCCCTTGTTCTTGTGCTGAGGAGACAGCAGGCGGGCACCCGAGGGGCTTGGCCCGAGTCACCACGGGAGCAGGACCCCTCCGGAGCCTCTGCGGCCCTGCATCTGTGTGCTGGGCGCAGGGGAAAGCCAGGCTGCCCACCATGCAGACCCTGCAACCTCCCCGTGGCTCGCAGCACCAGGGCGAACCGGGGCTCCCTCCGGAGGCTGCCTGGCCTCGGGCTTGGGACCCCGGGCAACAGGCGATGACCCCGTTCTGCGACCGCGACCATCCTCTTGCTCCCACAGGCTCCCCCTCGGCCTCGCTGCGCCCGTGGTCTCAGGGCTCAGCCCTCAGACCTCACTCCGTGACCTCCCTTCCCAGCGTCAAGGCTGAAAACCTGCCAATTCCAAGTGCACGGCAGCCCTCCAGGGGCTCTGTCCACTCCTGCTCCACCTCCCGCTCAGACGGACAGACAACGGGCCGACGTCTGAGGCTGCGCCGGCTGCCCAGCTCCTGCAGCTTTTCAGACAAACCTCGAAGGCCTTCCCCACACGCCCTGTCTGGTCTGCACCCCGTCCTGAGGCGAGGGGGGCCCAGCAGCTCTCGGTCCCCCCATGGTCTGCTTCCAACCCAGTCGCCAGGCGCCCAGGCCTCCGCCTCCAGCACGTGGATGTGCCCTCAGGGCCCCTGCGGGCTGTTCCTTCTGCCCTCCACGCTCTTCCCCACGTGCTCGCTCCCCGCTCCTGTCTTTGCCCCGACACCACCTGGCCCGGGGCACCTCTGACCCCACCCCAGTCAGACACTGCCCAGTCCCCGTGCCCAGCACACCAGCGGCTGTGCTGCCCCTGCCCTGTGACGAGGTCAGCTGGGTGCCGCCGGACAGGGAATGGACACCCTGGGGGGATGGGGGTCCCACTCCGGGTCAGCTCTGGCCTCAGCACCAGGCTTCTGCCTCGGTGTCCCTCTCAGGCTCCCCAGTCCTGGAGCTGAGCCCACGCCGAGGGCACCAGGCACAGTGACCCCCCCCCCGCACCCCTGCCGAGAACCTGGTCCACTCAGTGGGTGGCAGACAGGGCGGCGCCGGCAGGGCTGGCACTGGGGTTGCTGAGTCAGCTCTGGCAGCAGAGCTGAGTGACTCTGCACCCGCCTCCCCTCGAGGCTCAGAGCACAGCCCCTGCACTTCCCATCAGTAACCTCCAGGCCTCTGGGGGCAGGGAGTCTGGGGCGGGTGCACTTTCAACAAGGTCAGACCCAGAGCCCGAGACGCGGGTCCTGATGCCATTGGCCCCCAGGCAGGGAGGTCAGGCAGGGCTGCACTGGGCCAAGGGGTGGACAACACGCTGGCCCACGGCCAGGTCCCCACCACTGGGGAAGATCAGCCCTGCTGGGCACAGAGAAGACACTGAGACCTGGGGATGGTGCAGGTCAGAGGGCGCCGAGCAGGCTGGGCTGGGAGGGGGCAGGGGGAGGCCAAGGCTGTGCTGGGAAGGCCCTGTGCTAGAGCTGGGTCCCGACTCCGGCCAGCCTGTCACGGAGGCCAGCGGGCCGTGGCTGCCCCAGGGTCTCTGGGTCTACGATGCGCTCGTGAGCTGCTCCCTTCTGTTCTGCCCGCCCTGCCCTCCCTTCTGGCTCGGCCTTTCCCCACCCCCGCCTCACCCCTGCATCGGCAGACTGATGACTGCGGGTCACCTGTCTGCCAGCCCAGTGCCCACGTCTCATTCTCCTGCCCGGGGGCCCCCTCCCGGGCTCCAGCACCCAGGCGGTGTGCCTGCGGGCCCTCTGCAGCCCCTGCCCACACAGTGCCCGGACCACTGACTCCCCGGGGCAACAGGTCAGGACTGTAGTCCCTGTACCTGGGTTCCTCCCATCCCCCGGGGACCTCCTGACTTCTGGAAGCCCCGGGCTGCCCGCTATGTGCGATGCACCCGCCTCTGTCCCACAGGCCTGGGTCCATCCTCTGGGGGTTCCTAAGCCCAGCCCGTCGGCCCTGGTGCCCGAGCTGTCGCACTGGCCAGCCTGGAGGGGCTCTGCAGCTGGCGGCAGGGAAGGGCGTGGCCCCCAGGGAATGACAGATCTGTTCCCCTTACAGGACATTCCCACGTCCCTCGTGGTGGTGCCCTAGTGAGATGATGCCAGTTCCCCCCAGAGAGCCTGCAGAAGCCCGGTTTTGGGGTGGCCCAAGCTGCGTGCCAGCAGCGTGCCTGGTTGCTAGCGCCCCCTGTGCCCCTCGTTCCAGCCCCAGGCCCGGCCCAGCAGCCCGGGCTCAGAGTGGTTCCTAGCCTTCAGGCCACTTCCATTGTTCTGCAGCCGAGTGGAGACACCCAGGTCTCAGCATCCTATGTGAAAGGTGGGATGATGGGTCCCTTTCTGGTCCCTCCAACCTTCTCAGTGAAGGGCCGCTAGATAGCTGTGGAGGGAAGGCCATCTGGGGCCAGGGGGCTGTTCCCTGCCTGTGTGTGGGATGGTCCCTGGACGTCCATCTGGAGGAGGAGAAGCTCCACACCTGCCCCAAACCCACGACTGCCTGCACCCTGTGGGCTGCCCCGCTGTGCCGGGCCTGACCGGGGCCCTCGGGTCCCTCCTCTGCACCTGGCCCGGGCCCAGCACTTGGGCAGCAGCTCGGAGTGCCCCAGCCTGGCCCTCCGTCCCCCAGGCTCCTGTCTGAATGGCTTTCCTGCAACAGGTTGCCCCAACTTGCTGGCCAAAAACAGCAAACCACGTCCTCCCACGGTTCTGGAGGCCCCGAAACCCGAAACTGAGGCGTCAGGGCTCGGGCCCTTCCTGGGCAGCCAGAGGGGCGGCCCCACACGCATGCCCCCCTCCCCGGGCCGGTGCGGCCGGTGCTCTGCCCCCGCCTCTGCAGTCCCTCGGCCTCCTTGTGTCCCTGCCACCACGTGGTCTGCGTCCCACCTCCCTGCTCTTAAAAGGACCGTCGCCTCCAAATTTGGGGTTCACTCTAAGTCAAGGATGATCTCATCTCGAGATTCCTAATCATGTCTGCAAAGATGGCATTTCCAAATAAGGTCAAGCTCGCAGGTAGGGGTGAGGGGGTGAGGACTCCAGCATATCTTTGTGGGGGTACAAGTGAGCCCCACAACCCTGCCCTTCCTTGGCTGCCTGTTGTCTGTGTGCCCTTTGACTTCTGGCCGGGGCCGTCCCAAGACTTGACCCTAACAGCTGGAGATAAACATGTGCGGCTCAGATCGGTCACTGTCGCCTGGGGCCCCCGTGGCCTTCTGAAAGGGTCAGCAAGGGCCAGTGTGTCCGACAGAGCAGCTGTGACTCGGCCTGCGTGAGTGAGCACCCCGCCATCCCAGCACGCCGGCCGCCTGGGGTCAAGGTGTTGGGTACCCCCCGTCACGCAGACAGACGTTACGCCAGGCTCACCCAGTGACGGCCAGGGTGCGTTCCCCATTCATAACCCACTGGTCATGGGGACGAGGTCCCCCAAACATTTTGCAGTAACAGCCCAACTGTCTGTCCCAGTTATGAAATAAAGTCACTAACTTTACCACTTCCGCCTGAGCCGGTGGTGAGCAGCGAGGACAGAGCCGCACGTGGGACAGTAGGAGCTACGGGGGGCGGGGGGCGGGGGCAGGAGGGCTGTTCTTAGAGAGGGAGCAAAGGCCCTGGCTGGTATGGCTCAGTGGCTTGAACACCAGCCTGCAAACCGAAAGGTTGTTGGTTCAATTCCCAGTCAGGGCACATGCCTGGGTTGCAGGCCAGGTCCCCAGCAGGGGGCGTGAGAGAGGCAAGCACATGCTGATGTTTCCCTCCCCTCCCTCCTCCCTCCCTTCCCCAGCACACAGTAGTGGATGGGGAACCCCTGGGGGCAGCTGCAGGCAGGCACTGGGGGCGGGCAACAGGATGGGTCGTCCTGAGCCGCACAAGGGCACTGGGCCTTGCAGCCTCGGGACGGACGGGTGTGGTTGGGCCTGGCCCTTGGCAGCTCCATCATCTTCCCAAACTGCTGTGGGTTCAGGGAAAGGCCTGGAGAGTGGGGTGCAGAGCCGTGGGGGAGGGGGACACAGCCACCGGCCTGCAGCCTCAGTCCGCGAGCTTTCTCCCACAGGTCCTGCAGCCCCTCCCGTCCTCACGGGCACGGCCCAGGGCCCTCCGCCTCTCTGAAGGGCAGTGACCACCTGTCCTGCCCCACCCACATCCAGAAGCTTTCTGGGGGCTGCACTGCAGGGCCTCTCCACCCCAAGGGGGTGCAGCAGAGGCCACACCTGAGCAGGTAAGGGGGCTGCGGGGGCCGCCTCCCTGGGGCCCACAGCCCTGTGGGAAAAAGCGACACCCAGGCCACTGCCCTGGCCCGTAAGCAGATAACACAGGACAGATAGGACAGACAGGACAGAGGGGTGCGGCCGAGGGCAATCTGGCTGCCAGTGCCCAGCCACCCCACGGGGACTGAAGCAGGGGGTGCACAGCCCGGCTGGGGACAGTCAGGCGTGCGGACGCGGCAGCCCGAGGTTCACGCTGGTGTATCTCGCAGCGTGACGCACACTCTGGGGCCCGGCCCCCCGCCCAGGGCCAAGAGGGGTCTGCCCCTGGAGGGCGCTCGGGTGAGCACTGTCAGCCCCTCCAGGGACCTGCTGGAGTGACATTTAGGATGTCCGGGCTTTGGAGACCAGGGTGCGTCCCCAGGCCTCCTGTCAGGAAGGAGCCTGATGCCATCTCCTGGAAGGTGACCAGCTCCCTGACAGGTGTCCCTGGCCAGCCCCTCGGTGACCTGAAGCACCACTCCACGCCTACCTGCAGGGAGGTGCGCGCGGCCTCCAGGAACTGCCCCGGGCTGTCCTTCTCGGGTCTGAACCGGCCCAGCTGCTCGGTCACAGCCTCCAGGCACTTTCCGTAGTAGGCCATCTTCCCAGGGAGGGGCCCTGAAAGCAAACGGTGCAGCCCGCTCAGCAGGCGGCAGCAGTGGCTGCAGGAGCCTCACCAACAGGGCGGGAAGCCGCCAGGGCCCTGGGGCCTCATGTGCCGGGGAGTGTCGAGCGGAAACAGGGACCCCAGCCGAGGCAACCTGGGCCACTTCCTGGGCTCTCCCTGCATCTTCTGCTGTCCAGGGACTCACACTGCCCCCACCTGTCCCCCAAACCTACACGGTAGGGGTGCATGGATGGGGACGCCCCCTGGGAGGTGCCAGGCCAGAGCTGAGGCACCTAGGGGCGTCCCTCAGCCCAGGGCTCGATCACGTTACTCCGCAAGACACACCGAGTGGGGATGTGTGACCTAACCACAGGAGTTTGGGGTGAGAAGAATTTCAGGTCGCTAGGTTGGTCACCCCGCTTTAAAGATGAGGGTGCAAGCTCCGGGGAGGCTGAGTAGCTGGCCGTGGCCAGGCTCCTGCGGGCCCTGGAAGCTCTGGTGACACCGGAGCTCCAAAAGAGCAGGGTGCCTGTGCCCCTCTCTGGAGGACCCTGGAGGAGCTGCTTGGGCTGGGCCCCAGGACTGGCTCTCCCGGGTGGCTTCCAAATTGCCCAAAGGGTGTGGCCAGGCCTCCACGGGCCCCCTTCCCACCGGTTCCGAGCTGACTGAGCAGCCCCTCTGGGCAGCACCGCCGCTGGCCGTCCTGGGCACCAGCTGCTGGCTCAGCCAGACGGCTCATGCCCTGGGACAGCAGGGCCACCTCTCTTCCCCTGGATGGCGGCCCCCAGATGGGCTAATTCCCCCTCCTTGCCCCATCACTTTCAAGAGAATGAGGGCCAAAGCCACCAGCACTTGGGACAGATTCGGGTAGAGAGACACACGAGCCGTATGAGAGCTGGACCCGAAACATTTTCTGCAGTAGGAGCAGCCCCTTGTCCGTGGCTCGAGGGAGGGGGTGTCCACTCAGCCCCTCCTGTCCTCCGGCCTGGGCAGGGGAGGGGGGGCGGGTGCTCAGGCAGTGGGCGAGCAACGGGGGAGGGTGCAGAAGCCTCCTGGGGGGTGGGCACTTTGGCGGCTGCTGGAATGCCGGGTGGGCTGGGCACCTGAGGACGAGTGGCTGAACCTGCAGAGCCCAGGTTCTGCAGAGGGAATAGGGACCATGGGTGGGTCAGTGTGACCCCTGCAGCCTTGGTCCTGACCTTGCTGGCCCATCTGGGTAGGTCTCTGCCCTGCCCCACCCCTCACCCCGGTGGTCCCAGACTGGCTTGGACACTGAGCTCTCGCTACTGTCCTTGAGCATGGGGCCCCTTGTCCCTCTCCAGGTCACTCCTAAGTGGGAAACTGTCCCAGGCTCTGCAGGAGCCTCTGAGCCAAAGGCAGCCCTGGGGCTGGGGATCTGAGCTTGGGTCCAGTGCCCCCCAGGTTCAGGGCCTGGCCCTAAGGGCTGGGGAACGCGGGCACGCAGGTCCCTGGAAGGTGGGAGGGTGCCCAGAAAGGACACAGTTTCCAGGTTTGTGAGCGCCTCTCCGGAACAGCCCGGGGACACTGGCTGTCTGTTCTCCACAACAGACCCTGGAGGGGCAGGGCAGAGGGCAGGGCGGCCAGAGCTAGACTGTCGCGTTTCTCAGGGCCCCAGAGTGGGGCCCACCCTCTCAACTGGTTCCCTTCCCGGGGCCGCAGGGATGTCCCAGCTGAGGCTCATTGAGGCTGGCTGCACCCACTGGCCACACCAGACCTCCCAGACCTGGCCCGGCCTCACCCCCCAACACACCTGTCCCTCCTCCCTCCCTCTCAGGCAGGCCTCCTGCCAGACGGCAGAGCCTGGGGCCCAGCCTCCAGTGGGGGTGGGGGTGGGGGTGGGGGGAGGGGCAGGTCTGGGGAAACGGTCTCAGCTCAGGGCAGTCTCCTGCCACCCCAGCTGTCACCAACACATCCCCCACCTTCTCAGCTGCCTGGGGACCCAGAGGGGCCTCCTCAGCATGCTCACCCTTCGCAGCCTGGACCCCAGTCCCCGGGACCCTCCCTGCCCCGCCTCTCCACTGCGTCTATTCAGGCTGCTTCCTGCCTCAGAAGCCCCTTCCCGTGAGCCCCCTGAACCTCAGACACTCCCCTTCCCCTCCCAGGTGAGCTCCTAGGCAGCCCTCAATACCCAGCTCGAACACGGCCACCTGTGAAGCCCGCCTTCCTCCTCCCCGAGCTTTGCCCTTTGCTGTGCCTCCGCTGACGTCACCCGAACCTGGTAGAGGGCTGGCTTTACCACTGGGTTCCGCCCCCCCCCCCCAAAGCTCTCCATTTTCATCTGAAACTGCCTTTGACCTCCTGAGAGAGACCTACCCGGGGGTCACATTCATGCTGTTTTAGGCCTTGGGTTTCTCAGATCCCACAGCCCAACAGAGCTCAGGCTTGTCTCATTGAGCTGGAAAATCAGGTGCCACCATATTTACTGAGCAAGTAAAGGAGGAAGAGAAGGGGGAACCATGCTGAGACAGGGGTGGGGGGTGTCAGGCTCCCGACCCCCATGGGAAATTTTTCTGCCTGTGGGAGCCCCTCGGGCCCCGCACCTGGTCTGCCCGACCCCCGCAGCCTCTCGGGATGGGCGGCAGCTGTGTGAAGAGGCGCCCACGTCAACACGATGAAGGAAACAACCCCGCGTGTCTGGGGCTCACAGCGAGGAAGAGGACACATCCCTCTGCTCCTCACTGGGCAGGGACAGTGGGGGGCCTGTGCCTGTGCAGTCGGAGCCGCCCTGGCCAGATGGCTTCCCTGCCCTCCCCTCCTGACCTGGAGCCTGAGCATTCTGGGGGAAGGACGATTCCGGGGCCCGCTGGTGATGAGGCAGGTCGAGGAGCAGCATGAAGCACCACCAAGCCCTCCCCAGTCCAGACGGGGCCTGGATGAATTGAGGGGCCCAGGGGAGGGTGGGGGGAGTGTGTGGGACTGTGGGGCAGGGGAAGGGGTGCTGCCGCAGCCTGGCCCTGCTCCCATCGCAGGGTACGGCTGTGCCCTGAGGGCTGACATCAGGAAGAGAGACACCTGGGCTGTGTGTTCCCATGAAGACTCGCCTATGAACTTAGTCAAAACACTCACGCCTCTGGGCAGGAAACAGGCCCTAACGTTTGCTCAACTCTGCCGCCAGCTTCCGGCACCTCGGCCTGATCAGCGGTGCAAAGCCATCCATGTGCGTGCGCACTGGGGTTTCACTCTCAAGCTTACCGATTTTTTTGGCACTGATTTTCGACTTTGCTACTCAGGACTTGACTGTCTCCTATTTAAGGAAACTCCAAAGGTGGGCTGGACCAACACCTCCCTTTCCTCAGCAAACCTTTTACAGACAGAAGTGAGAAGATCTGAACGTTACGAGACACAGACTAGTCCAGTGCTCTGAACCACGTGAGAGGCTTCGCTCACAGATCCCAGATGCGTGCTGATTAAATATCTATTCCTTTCTGGCTTTTAACCCCAAGGGTTTCTGCCAAGTCATGCTCTGATGGCCCGCGCTTCAAGCACAGGCTCACGTGGCAGGTTTTGCTGGTTGCTCTTCAATCTACTCCCCCTTTCTTCCTGAGTAAACAAAACTGACTTTGAGTTGGGCATCTTCCAGCCTCCCTGGCAGCTGTGTGGCCAAGCAGTGACAGGGTGCGAGACTTCGGGAAGGCCTCCGTGTAAGGAGCAGGGGCATCCCCTCCTCTTCTTTTCTGTCCCACTGCCTGGACTCGGGAGGTAATGGCAAGAACATAGGCAGCTATTCAGAGCCGTGAGGAAACACATTAAAGAAGAGCAAGCAAGCCCCCAGGTCTCTGATGACCTCCCAGGATCATCTCCCTGTGGATGTCCTTCACGAAAACATGAATAATTTTGCTTGGGCCACATGACGCTAGGAATTTTCCTCTCATGCAGCCAAACCGAATCCTAACTGATACATCCACGGCCCTGAGGTCAACCTTCACCCTGAGCAATTTCAAACTGGGGTGCTTTGGAAGGAGTCTCTGAGCAGTAACAACAGCCTGGCCTTCCCATTAGCCAAAGGCAGACCCACAGAAAACGGTCCTCCAGGTGTCTACCCTGAGTTCTCCCACTGGACAGGTGGCAGCGGGGTAGCAGAAGGTTTTACTGGGGAGAGTGCAAGCTGGACATGTTGAGTGGGAGGGGTTCTGTCAGACTCCCAGCTGGCAAAGAACAGGGAAAGGGGGCTGGAGTCCCAGGGCAAAGTTTGGGCTGAAGATGTGAGTTTTGGCAAGACTGGGAAGAAATGCTTGTTTATGAAACCATATGACCACAGGAAGTCACCTGTGTAGGGCTGGAGAGAGGGGCTTCCAAGGACTAAGTTTGGAGGCCAGGCAGCCCCAGGGGAGAGGTGGACAGTGTGACCTGTGCCGGCCAGGTGGGGACAATGTGTCCAGGAGGGTAGCACACAGCCAGCTCACCTGCAGCAGGAAGTTCAGGGGAGAGATGGCATGAGGTCTAGTTATGGGACTTAGCAACATCGGGTCAAGGATGACTCGGGCAAAGAGCCTCGAAGGCGGCACTGGGTGAGAATCTGACTGGAGTGGTGGGGCGGGCCCAGGAGGGAGGGGGCTGAAAGGCCCTGCAGATAAGAGGCAACTCAGGAGGGCTGTGCGCTTTGGGGGAGCCAGGGCTGGGTAATGGCCGGAGGCCAGAGGGGAAGGTCAAGCAGGTCCTCAAAAGTGGGCATGGATGACCACCAGCACACGGGGACATCTTGGAAGCTGGCTCTGCCCGGACGCACCTGACTTTAAGGGAATGGAGGGGTCAGGGGGTCCAGAACCATTGGAGTACCCACCCTGGGCCAGCGACAACACAGTCGCACAACTTAGCCTCTGTAGCCTCTGTCCGGAGGACCTCACTTTCCTCCCCTGCGGGCCGAATCTGCACCTGGGGGAGCAGCCAAAGAAGTGCCACTGGGTGGGGGTGGGAGGGTGCGGGGCTGAGCAGGAGGGTACACCTGCCCTGCCTGGGGACCCTCGTCCCCTTCCCCAGCCACAGCAGGACAGCCCCTTCAGGTCTCAGTGTCCTCAGCTGACAATCGGAATGTAATGTGAGACCAGCTACTTGTCAGCTTGGCACATTACAGGTTCTCAGATTTTGCTGACTGCTTTTATAGATCCAAATTAGGGCACCGTTGCGGGTAGTAGTGAATGTGGGGGAATATACATTTTTTAAACTACTGTTTACTGTGGCGATTCAAAAAAAAAGCTCCGTTAACTGAGTGAAAGAGCTGGGAAGACCAAAAAGGAAGGTAGTGAGCGAAAGCAAGAAGGCGGGAGCCAGGGCGCCGAGGACCAGCCTGCAGGGCTGGGATGGTGCTGGGGTGTGGGACCCGGCCGCGCTCCACCACCCGGGCCCCACCTCTTTGCCTCCGTACCCGCCGGCGGCGCCGGGGGCGCTTTCGCACCTTTCTCGCCTCCACCCGCCGCCACAGGGGCTGCCAGACGGACCGGGCGCGAGGAGACTCGGAAACTTCGAGGGGGTGCCCCACCTCGCTCCTGCTCCGCTCGGAGTCCGCGAGCACTCGGAGAGTGGGCCGTGGGGGCCGGGGGACCGTTTGAGCGTCGTCGCCTAGCAACGGCGTCACGCTCGCGTGCCCTAGAGAACACTACAACCCCCAGAATGCACAGCGTGCGCGGTGTGACGAAGGACACCACGTGAATTGCCTCGCCCCTGCGTCGTGGGACGGGACTTGTAGTTCCCCAGCCCCGCTGGGTGCTTCCCAACGCCCCCGGGCGGGGAGCGCGCCTCGGACGGGGGGCGGGGGTTCGCGGGCATCAGCGCATGTGCAGCGCTGGGCGGTGGGGGCCGGCGGAGTCGTGGGGTGTCAGTGAGCGGCGAGGAGCCGGCGCCCCGTGCCGCGTGAGCCCGTCCGCCCGCCGCTGTCTGCGGGTACCCGTGGCGCGCTGCTTGCGGAGCATCTCCCGGCCGCACACCTGTCCCCGCACCTGCCCGCTGCCCGCCCGGCGCCCCGGGACCGCCCGCCGCAGCCGGGCCCGGGCGAAGCGCCGCGGAGGGAGGGCCGCCGGGCGGGCCGGGCCGGCGCGGCGATGATGCACAGGTTCCGAAAGTGGCTGTACAAACCCAAGGTGAGCGGCCCCGTCCCGCCTGCGTAGACAGTCCTCCGCCCCTCCACCAGGCACGGACTGTCGCCTTCGCGAGCAGTGGGGCACAGTTCCAGCCCAGCGAATGGCTGTGTCCCAGGGGGTAGCCCCAGCGCCGTCTACGGTAGACCGCCCGCGCTAGCCTTTGGCCTGTGGGCACCCCTCTCACCCCGTCCGTGGCCAGGGCGGCTCCCCTCTCTTCCCATCCCAGTCCGCTCGCATCTCACTTCAGCCTGTGGCAGACCCCTACCCCTGGATCCCCGAAGAATACTTCCATCCCCCCGCCTGCCCGGGTGTGACTCCCTCATTCCCCTCTGCCCGCCGCCCCCACCTCTTTACCCTGGGCTTCAAATTACCTCTCAACCTCGCTCTGCACTCCGGAGTGGTCTGGTCCCCTTCCCACTTCCCTCAGGTTCTACAGGGATCCCGTGCCCCTCTCCCGGGTCTCGGTATCCAGAGCGAATCCCCATCCACTGTCTGGGCCCTGCCTTCCCGAACCGGGACCCTTCCGCACCTCGGCCAGTGGCGTCCCCATCCGCGCCCGGTGCCCACCCGCACGCTCCCGGAGCAGGACCGGAGGCAGTTCCCCCATTTCCTGGCGCGGCATCCCTCCTCCGCACGGGGTCGGGGTCCGGATCCGGGCCGCGCTCCCCGCGCCCTGGCTGCTGCGCCAGTGGCACTGCGGGCGTAGCGTCCCCGCCGCCTGCCTGTTCAGGCTCGTGTCCGCTGCAGCCCGAGCGGCCAGGGCAACGGCATCGCGGAGCCCGACGCAGGGTCCTGGGCTCCTTCTCCGTGTCGGGGCCGGCGCTGTGGGAGGGCCCGGGCGCCCAGGTCTTGGTTGGGGGATTGAGGCTTGGGTGGGGTTACGGGCGACCTGAGGGCGCCTTAGATATCCGAGGTCGTAGTGTCTCTGATGGACCAGGTGCCCACCCCTTCCCCCAGGCTGACTACTTTTCTGGATTAGGCTTCTCAGCTCCCGTCCTCCCCCACCCCCAGGGTGGTTTCTCCGGGTAGGGGTTTCCTTAAATCCCTGCCCTCTCGGTGCCCCCATGCAGGGAGGCAGCAGATCCTTAGATCCGGCAGTCTCTGCAGGTCGGGGAGCGAGAGCGCAGGGGCCCAAAGGCCTAGAGGCCTTGGGAGGGAAGAGCCGTCCCAGTGTGAGTGTTGGACTGGGGGCTCAGGATGCCTGGGGCCCGCCTTGGGGGCCTTAGATTTCCGTTCTTTCCTGCTGGAGCAGCAGCCCTGTCCTTCGTGTCCTGCAGCAGCTGCTAATTGATGGCGGCGGTTCCCCAGTGCCCGGGGCTCCCTAAGGTTGAGTGTAGTTTAGGGCCTCCACCCTTGGCAGGTCCCCCAGGGAGGCTCTCGCTGGGTCCGGCCTGCTTTTGCTGTGCAGGCTGCAGGGGAAGGTGACGGGCGGCTTCTGCACAGGAGCAGCTTCTTGTGTATGTGACTTTTATCACGGGTTGAAGAAAAACTAAGTTCACTCGTCAAAAGGTCATTTGGTGGTGGGAAGCAGCATTGTTTCTTCAGTGACAAATGGCAAGGGCCAAGGGAAATGTATCACAGGTCAAGTAACAATTTGTTCTCTGAAAATTCAGGCTTCGTCTGGGGCCCTGGGGGTCCCGTGGCTGCTGGCTGCCGCTGTCCAGGTGTGGCTGTGGAAGAGCCTCGTTTGCGGGGCCACCGTGCCTGCGCTGTTGTCGGAAGGGGAGAAACTGTGTTTCATCAGTAGCTGGGTAATTTTCCTGGCCCTGCCTGTTTTGGTTGAGGGCAAGTCTTCAGAAGTGGAAAATGATACCGTCCTTGAGCTCATGCCCCAGAATTGGGAATTGTGTCCCTGTGCTTCCTTCTTCAGCAGGCTGCCGCCCTTCCAAGGCAAGCCCTGGGTGCTGACCGGGCAAGCGGGGGCAGGGCGAGTCCTCCACCCTGCTGGCTGTGCCCACAGCTGTTTGCTCTGGGGTGGCAGGGTCGACTTTGACCCTCTGACCCTCACCTGTTCCTCACTGTCATCTCTCATCATGCTGTCAGATATGTGTTGCTGACCCCTGCACTGCATCTGAGACCCCTGTGTCCTGCGTGACTTTGTGGAGAGCAGTGCTCTGCGGTCGGCCTGAGGCTGGGCAGCCCCTGATCCCTGACCTGCCTTGCAGTTCAGCGTCCTGACCATCGGGAGGGGCGGGGCGTGTTAGGTCACCCCAGGAAGGTTTTCCTTTGTCACACCGGAGCTCACATTTCTGCCTGGCGGTATGAACTGAGTTTTTGCCCCTCCTTCCTATTCGGTGAAACGCATTTTGGCACCAGGGAGCGCCCAGCCGGTCCTGGAGGAGTTAAACGCCAGCTGTGGGGAGGGCGTGCTGGGGGACGGCTGCCTGAGGGCTTTCCACTTTTGTATTTAGATGCGTGCAGGATTCCGAGGGCATTCTCGATTTACTCCCAGCTCTGGGTTAAAACCAAACACTGAACTTCTTGTTCATTACAGTGCAGTGGAAAATACTCTGAAACCCAAAATACTCATTGTTCTGGTAGTTGTAGAAGCATTTGCAAATGCTTTAAACCGTTCCGACCTGATGCTCACTAATTCCTGTCTGCATCATTAATAACCACCTGAGGTGAGTAAGAAATAAGTCGGGTGTGTGTTGCGGTGGTTTAACGAGGAAACGCTAGTTGCAGATGCTCACACTTCCTAGAGGTTCTTGAAGGCCAACTTTCCAACGCCACTGTGACTCTGTTTCATGCCATTCACTGGGGACGAGTGTCTTAGCAGACTGAGGGCGGCCTGGGAAGGCCAGGGGGTGAGGGGCTGCCTAGCCTGTGCTTCCCTGGGCGTGTTGGTGAAATTCGTTCTGGGCTTTTGTTTAGGGAGCACCTTTCCAGGACGGAGTCAGCTGAGAAAGGTGAAGATACCAACACTCATGTTTCTGGCAGGATGATCACGTTGCTGTTGATCCCTGATGACGGGGCAAAGGGGTGAGACCGTGGCGTGGGGGGAGGGGCCCCGGGCTGGCCCCTGGAGGACTTCTTGGCCATCCCCAAAGAGCATATGAATGGTGGCCCGGTTGACTTTGTATTCTCCATCTCTGAGGCAGAATCGACAGGCAGTGGGCGATGCTGTCCAGATGGACAGCCCCGCCACAGCGGTGTGGTGGCCCACTCGGCCACGCTGTCCTCACTGAGCTCCGTCAGAGCCCTGAGCCCGGCACAGATGCTGCACCAGGGCTTGGGATTTTCATGTTAACTGCTAGCGAGGCTGCAGACTGGCTTTTTTTTTCAGCCGATCAACTAGGAGTGCCTGGCTGCGACTGAGGCTGTCCTCAGAGCAGGGGGCTTCTCTCTTAGGGGAGCTACTGGAAAGCCAGGCTTCCGGAAAGCCTGGCCGCACAGGCTCTGTCCAGACCATCTCCTGCTTCTAGCAGGTGCTCAGCCCGGAACGGGGCCAGGCAGTTCTGGGAAGGATGCTGGGCAGTGCTGAGTCAGGGTGGGGCTGGCAGGTCCAGCGCGCTGTGTCCCCTCCCTGAACTCAGAGGCATCGGCCCCTCCTCTCCACTGCCCAGTCCGCCGCCCCTCCCAGAGGCTTCCTTCAGATGCACTGGCGCTGCCAGGCTGTGGGCAAATCAGGCCGGCTTGGCTGGCTCCGAAGCCTGGGGTGGAGGTGACTCAGCAGGGTTCTGGACTCCTGTCCTAGGCCTGCCTGCGTCCCTGTCCACAGCGGGGGGCGTGGGGGCCTTGGCCTAGCCCCAGCCGTCAGCACCTGCAGGCCGGGCAGAGGCCAGCTACATGTCATCGCCCAGGGCCTGCTCTTTGCTGGTGGCAGTGCACTTTCGGGAAGTGCACAGTGTGGTTTCTGTTAAATGGGTGAGTCTCGGGCGAGGTCGGAGCGTCACCTAATGGTGTCTGGCCAGGGTGTCCAGTGGGAGGTGGTATGCTCCCCCCTCCCCCCAGTCCTCCGGGAAAGGGAGCCCGTTAGGCCACTTCAGAGCTTACTGCCTTGCCGAAGCTCAGGCAGCCCCAGAAGAGCAGACACACTTGCTTCGAGTGTGCAGAATGCGCCACAGTGACCTGATCGTCTGGACGGCCCGGCGTGGTTCTTGCTTCGAGGGGCAGCACACGTGCCTCAGTGCTGTGTGGTGCTGTGTGCCATCCCCCGATTCCAGCTGTGGGGCGGCAGACCCCTGGTGCCACGGGGCCCAAGGATGCATTGTCCTGCCTGCCGCCCTTGGGCCCGAGGAGGGAGTGGCTGTGCAGGGCCCTCCAGGGCTGTCCCTCCAGGGCATCCCACAGGCCCCAGCCCGGCCTCAGTTTTCCTGTCTGTTGCGGGGGGTGACGGGACCTGCTGCATGGGATTTGAGAAGACCGTCTGGGTGGAAGGCCGTCAGGAACGACCTGGCTAACTGATGGCTGCAGTCACGTCCAATGGGATGCAGTCATGGCCAGTGGGACGTGCTGGTGGGTGAGAGGGCGTGGCCTTGACTCAGGAGTTTTCTGGAGCCCCAGGGGCCATCAAAGTTTCCAGTGACTTCTGATGGGTTATGCTGACAGCGGAAGTGTCTCAACAGGTGCACCCCCCCTTTTTGGTGGCATGTCAGGTACTCGGTTTGGGGGCACAGACCCTCAGGCATGCTGACGGGTCCTCACTGCCACAGCACCCACCTCCCGAGTGACAGTGGGCGGCTGAAGTTCAGCCAGCGCGGGTAGCGTGGGGCCACCATGTCAGGCCTGGCCCCCAGATCTCTCTACCTGTCTTCCTGAGGCTGTGACCAGGGGCTCAGGACCCAGGAGAGGCCCCCAGGGCCATGGAGGGCATGGGTACAGGGGCGGGGCTGGTGTGATTATGGGTGGGGGTAGGACTCCATTGGCTTAGCCGCCGACGTTTTAGGGTGCTTGTCAATGGTTACACTGTCCTAACGAACCCTGTTTTTCAAATGGGGGCTCAGAGGCCCGTGTGAGCTGGCTGGAGCCTCCCAGGCAGGTCTGTGGCCTGCAGCCAC